CAGTGATGGCCGTCCCCTACTCCTGTTGTCTGCTGTCTGGGGGCAATTTCACTTACTCTGTTTGGTCTTGTAGTTGTTTATGGTGGAGTTAGTCCTTGGGACACCAAAGCCTCAAGGGTAAAGTGGCTATCTCTGCAAACTTGTGAATCCTCAGTCTCACTGCATCTTACTGAAGATTTACAGCTGTGAATGGCTCTGCACTGAGTCCTCTCCCCCTCACTGTGGCCCCCCTCTTGCCTCCCGTGTGAAGCGAGGGGTGCTGCTGCTTTGCCGCTTGGTGCTGTCATCCTGAGGTCTCCTGGATCGGCCCCTCTGGGGTTTTCTCAGTCTCCGGGCATGGCTGAGATCAGCTGCTTGTCCTCAGCTGTGGTGCCAGCATTGCCAGTGGTGGGCGCTTTGGCCTTTGGTGATGGAGCATACAGCCCTTGTTCTTCCATGTGAGTAGTTGGTGGTCTCGCAGCCAAGCTTCTCTTTTTTGGTTTTTCAGGGCAACCAATGAAGTGCACCCTTCATCTGAATGGCAACGTTATCACCTCAGACCAGCCCATCCTGCTGTAAGTTCCCGAGGCGGGCGTGGGGGCAGGGTGGAGCTTTTCTGCTCACGTCCTCTGCACGAGCATCTCTCTCTACTCTGCGTCACCGTTTCCTCCTGCCCACCACCCTCCATTCCATTCCCTGGGTTCCAATGCAGTCAGTCAGTCACAGGGCTCAGATTTGAGGAAAGTGGTTCATCTCGTCATTTCCCTGGGGGATTTTCCCCACAGGGCCTGTCATTAAGACCTCATTCTCAGCCACATCTGAGAAGAAAGTGGAGAGCAGGCTGGTCCTGTCCTCCTTCGCACAATTGCAGGCATCGTCCAGGTGAACAGAAACCCGCAGCTGCATAGACCTGCATGGGAACGAGTGCCAGGTGTTCCCTCCCCCTGTCACACACACTTGGGCATCCATGAGACACTGAGGCCTTTGGAGCCCAGGTTGCATAAACTGTGGCAGGACATCATTTTATAGACGAGACAGAGACCCAGGGAGGATACTGGACCTGCCATGATCACGGGGCCAGTGCCTAGCAGAACCTGGAGTGTCACCAGGTGTCCTGACTCCTGGCCAGTGTGTCTCTCAAATCCGTACAGATGAGCTCATCTTTGTTGCTTGGAAACTGAAAGGCACTCTCAGAAAGAGCTTTAAACTTGATTAAAGTTTTAAACCGTTGACTTCACCCCAGGAACAAATAGAAGTTGATTGTTTCTTTTTCTTTTTTTTTAAATGCATTTGATTAAAATATAATTTATGTACAGTGAAATACACAAAACTAAAGTGACATGGGTCAACTCATTTTTTTTTTTTTTTTGGAGTGTTCCCTCCCCTCCTCTCCCACCCCTGACAACCAACAAAGAAAGTTTTCCCCCATATATAAACCTTTCCTTGACCCTCCACAACAATGAACTAATACTATATTTGTTCTTCTGTGATTGACTTACTTCACTCAGTGTAATGTCCTCCAACTTCATCCATCTTATGTGGTGTTTTGCAGACTCTACATTATACAAATAGAAATTGTTTCTTAAGATACAAAAGCAGTATTCAGAGTTACAGGCATTTATTCAACTAAGTTCCTTGTAAGCCACATGTGCTCAGCAGAGAGCTAGGTGCTGGGTGTGTCAGGGGAGCAAAGATGGTCCCTGCCCTTACTGAGTTATTTGACTGGGTAGCTACTACATAAGGCTACAGATTGGGTAAGCCTGGAAGGAAATGAATGGGCAGCTTTGCTGGAGAGTAAAGGTGATTGGCTACTTTAATTGGGGAAAGACATGGGGAGTACAGGGCAGGCTTGAAATTTAGAAGGACCAGGAATAGAAACCTGAGACATGAACTGTGTGATTTGGGTATGTTTCTTAAACTTTGTTCCAGGAATAAGTTGTATTCTGAAAAAAAAATTTTTTTTTTTTTTTGCCTTATAAGTGTGGGAAACATTGTGCACAAAAGAGTTAAACTGATACAAAGGTTGAAGCCGTCTCAGAATGGGCTGTATGCTAGTGTGTTATGTGGCCACCCCAAGGGACCTGTGGTACTTCCTACACTTGGGGCCCCAGAACGAGCAGGATGCACCTCCGTTTTCTCATCGGTAAATAGGAAAATGATAGGTTTGCTAGGAGATGAGATGAGATGAAGGCATGTGGAAATCATGACAGTCAGTAAATGGGCGGGTCCCCTCCCGGTCTTCGAGACAACTGACCAGGATTTTGATTCTTCTCTGCTCTCTACAGGAGGCTGAGTGACAGCCCCTCAGTGAAAAAGGAGAGCGAGCTGCCTCGTAGGGTGAATTCTGCCTCCTCACCCAACCCTCCTGCAGAAGTGGACCCCGACACCATCCTGAAGGCACTCTTCAAGTCCTCGGGAGCCTCTCTGACCACACAGCCCACAGAATTCAAAATCAAACTTTGAGTGGGGAAGCGAGGCAGCCAGAGCATTCTGGGGACAGAGGAGGGTGGCTCTGTTGCCCAAGCCAAGCTTGTGACCAATGGGCCGTTGGACTGGAGGCCCCTGAGAGTGGGAAGGGTGCCAGGTCGACTTGTCCTCACTGGACACGTCCTGCCTCTCCGTGTTGTGTCCTACTCTCTGCTTTTCTCTTCAGTGACATTTCCTGTAGTTTGTATTTTCTGCTCTCCACCTTGTCATCAAGGTGGACTCGTGTTTCTCAGAGTGTCCCTCCCCTAATCTCAGTCCCAAAGTGAATCCTTACTCAGAAACACAGCACTAAATTGTCCAGCTGTTCTCCTGTGGTCCTGTGGGATGCAGGACTGGGGCTGTTTGAAGAAGACTGCTTTTTCCAGGAGGTGGGGGTGCACCCTCTGCTGTCATAGCGGGAGCCAGGTCTGCTCAAGAGGGAGCCGGGGCTCAGGTCACAGACCCCTGTTCTCTCACCACAGTTGGCTCTAGGCCGAGTTGGAGAGAGCCTGTGGCAAGGGCAGGTAGGCTGCTGCTTTGCTGTGAAGAATACTTGGAGGGTCCTTGCCAACTCTGGCAACCCCAAGTGAGTTTTCAGAGTTCACCTTCCTTTTTCTCTTGAGTTTTACTGAAGGCCTTGCCTCAGTTATCTTAGCCTTCTGGGTGTCACTGCTGGGAGCGGCTTGCGTTATTACCTGTCCCAGTCCTCATCTGGCATGGTGCTTGTCACACCCTGAATGTGGTGCAGGTGCCAGCTGGGTCAGCTCTCCACTTGGACGTTACAGACGCCTCCCATTCTGTGACTGTGTGGGTTTAGGGGATTATTTGAATGGAAGCTGTTGGCTGCAGCTTGCCCCTGTTCTTGCTTTCTGGCCTCAGATGTCTATAGAACAGTAAGTAGTCAGGGATGCCAAAAGGGCCATACCAGCTGCCACCAAGGGATATCTTCCCTACCACTGTGATGACCAGCAGTGACCAGAGGCATGTTTGTCTACCTTGGCAGTTGCTGGTCAAGAGAGCAGAGAGGCCATTCTGGGCGAGCCAGTAGGTGGCTCTCCAGCCTGGTTTAAGGCAACTGGGGACCCCTGAGTACCCATCTCCCACTGATTTGTTACGACTCAAGGGAGCCCCAGTGAGTAGTAAGTGACAGAAAAGACAGGGCCAGCAACTCCAGGACCTGAACTTCTAAGAGCCTCTCAGGACCTGTGTGGGTTAGCCCAGTAAATAAAACCTTAGAAATTCATGTTTCCACCATTAAATCTATTGTCAGCAGAAGTTACCCAGGGTTTGAACCCACCCTCAGTCCTCCAGCTCTGAGGTTGGCCAGGCCTGGGATGTCCCAGGAAGGTGCCTCCTTTCAGGTTCTTGTAAGGAATCACCATTTCCTCCCTGTCCCCCCATGAATGGGGACAAGCTTAGTTCCCTTCGGCATCTGGAAGACATTCTCCCCACACTTTACCTAGAGAGCACCAGAAGGCAGTAGGGTCTGGTTTCTCAGGTGCTAGAAACAGATCTTTGCTTGTACTCTCCTTGGAGCAGGGATGGTAAATATGCTGCCTGCGTGGCTTTATCCCCCACCACACATACCCCTCCTCCCATCCCACACCAACCGAAGTTCCCTGGAGCCCAGTGCAGCCGCCTGGCTGTCTGGACACCGGGCTCTGAGTAGCGGGATGGGAGGTGGGGTTGAGGGGGCTGGTTTGCTTTCCCTGCCCTACAGGACTGCCTCCCAGGGGACAGGGAAGGAAAGGTGGTGGGTCTCTTTGGTTCCCTCTCCACTCCCCACTCCTACTACATTATCCATCTGTCTCTCTATTCAGAAGGAGAAGAGGCCTTAGTGATGGAGAAGATAATTATTGTGTATTCCTTAATGATTTCTGAATAAAATGTTTGTTATTCCTAGCTTTGAACTGGCATTTTTTTTTTTTTCAATTTGTAGAATTTATTATGAAGTTAGTGTTCCACTTATACACTGTTTCTGAGTTCCAAAAAAGCCACAACTATAGCCTATAATGCATATGACTTTTGAAAATAAAATATTTTAATGTAACCTGTTTTCTACAGTAAAACAAAAATCTCACCATTAAAAGCAGTTTTATTTTTCTTGAGAAGTTTCCTATACTTAAGTGAAAACACTGTCATTTAACATGTCACTGTTTCTAATGTTAAGATAATTATTACCCAGTGTTCAATTTCTGCAGCTCCTTATCACACAAGATTCAAAGTTGTGATTCAGACTTATGTTCTAAAAACTGCCATTTTGAAAAAGCATTTTTTTTTATGATCTTGGCAACCTAATAGGAAATGTATAATAAATCAGAATTGGTATAAAAATGCACATGGCTAGTGGAAACAGCCCACTCATTTTGATTTCATTTGTAGCATTCTCACTGCCTTAAATTTTATCAAAATCTAAGAGAGCAACTGGGTAACTAGAACATAAAAAAACTCGACAGTAAACAGACTTGAAACTAGGGCTTATCATCCATGATATTTGAAACGGCCATTTACTGGGAGTGAAGTCACAGAAGAAAAGCAGTTTTTGCCCCCCCCCCTCCTTTTTTTGTGACAGCAGATACTGTTGTCTTTTATTCTTAACTGTTGCATCAAAAGAACAAAGTGTTAACATTGCACTTAAGCACTCAGTTTTAAGAGAAACACAGTAAATCCTTTAGAACACTGGAAATAAATCACTAACAAAGCACCTGTTAAATGAAATTTTTGTCTTCTAAGTAAGTAGATGATGGTCAAAGTCAAAACTAGAATCCTCAGAAGAGCTGGAATGCGGGAGGTGGAATTCAGCTGAGATAGCCACGGTGTCTGCAGCCGTATCTCCAGTGTCGTTACACGACTTCGTTTCCAGGCCCAGGGGGATGGCTCACTGAGAGCACGCTCTGAAAGCCTGCCGTGTGCTGTCAGACGCGCAGCTTCATCCGCATTGTTCTAAAGCACAGCAGCCTTGTTACCCCGATAGTCTTGTAGACTGACCAACATGATGTCTGAAGTACTTTTCCAAACCCTTTTTCTTCATTTCCCTTGAATATGACATCACCTCTTTACACCATCAAAACTGTTTCTGATGGTCCATTTCCCGACATTTTGATTACTGGCACATATTCTAGTCCCTCCTCTTTAAATACCAACTCTTTCCTATTCATTCTCAATTCTTACTAACCCTGTGCCTGTTTTTACCTCCCTTCACCTTTATTCTTAGGCATGGCAGTGACAACGGCCTGGTGGCATCTCCAACCTCTTTCCAGGTGGTGGCGACAGTGGTGATTTCTCCCAGGGACCCACGGCACCAAGCAGTCGCTGTAGCACACGTGGCTTAAAAGAGCAGTCCCGCAAACATGCTCTCCCGTTACCCGCTTGCACCTACACCGGAGCTGTCATTTCTTAAAATTCTGCTAAATGGCCTAGTGGGATTTGGTACCAGAAGGCAGGCATTTGCTGCTTTGTCTTACTACCCACCAGCTGTGACGTTGGGCCAGTCCCTGACAGGACTTGCTAAAACTTCAGTCTCTGCAATTGAGAGACTGTGAGGGTTAATGTCTGTGGAAGCACCTGCTACAACTTTTGGGCCTAAAGTGCCTCCTGGGTGTTAAACACAGTCATCTGCAACATAGTGTAGTCTGCTCACGGAACCAGAGAGGCCGACTACTGGCCTTCTGCAATGGTTTGAAGAATTTACACTCATGGGTGAAATTTCTCTCTGAATTAGAAGATGTTAGTTGTTGATGGTTCGTTTATGATGATACTGTGAACACTTCCAGAAAGATGGCATAGAAGTACTTACCCTGTCCTTCCCACTACGTACAGCTAAAGACCCTGGACTCGTATAGAACACACATAAAACTGAGAGGTGGAGAGATTAGGAGGCAGACTGGCAAGGGACTTCAGAATCCGAGGAATCCATGGCGCTGACTCCCTGGGCTTTCTTTTTGCCTCACATCCCAAATGGTGCTGGAGGAAGGACAGCCCAGAACTGCCAACAGGTGCAGACAAAAGCCAGGCCAAGCCCACACCTGCCCGAGCCGCGGGACCAGGCAAGGCAGACTGAACCTCGTCGTACCACAGAAAAGAAATAGGACCCCAGCCTCTCCAGTAAAGGCTGAGTCAGGAGCCTAGACTTCCACCCTTGTCAGGCTGTACTGGGGTCCCCCAAAGCCACCAACAGAGAAGGCCGAGTAGGAAGCTGGAACTTTCAGCTGGTGTCTGTGGAAAACATATGGGGAGAAGAAATGAGGCAAAGCCAGGGTGTTACCAGCAGAGGCAGTGAAGAGAGAACTCCCCCCACTGGGTAGTAAAGAGAAGTCACACCCTGATTGTCACAGAGGTCAAGTGGGGAACCTGGACTTCCACCTGGAAGTACAAAGTGGTACCTCCCCATCCCCACCAGAGGGGTGTCAGAGGAGACCTACTGTAACAAAATCTAGGTAAGATCTAAACTAAACCAAACGAAACTCCCTGTCATCGAGTCGATTCTGACTCACAGCGATTCCTCCTTGGGTTTCCAAGGCAGTATCTCTATAGAAGGAGCCCTGGTAGCATAGTGCCTAAGGTACTTGACTGCTCACCAGAAGGCTAGCAGTTCAAACCCACCAGCCACTCCTCGGAAGGAAGGTTGGGCGATCAACTTCCGTAGTGATACTGCCTCGCAAACTCAAGGAGGGGTAACTATGAGTCAGGTCTGACTTGATGGCACATAACAACAACAACCTCTCTATAAAAGTCTTCCGAGGAGTGGCTGTTGGGTTTGAGCTGCCAGCCTTCTGGTTAGTAGTCATATGCCTTAGGCACTACATCAGTAGTGCTTTATTATTATTATTATTGTTGTGATTTGGGTGAAAATTTACAGAGCAAATTCACTTTCCATACAGCAGTTCACATACACTTTGTCTCATAACATTGACCATAATTTACCACAATGAAATAGCTCACCTCCCTCCCAGTTCCTCCCGACAGTTAACCTCTTCCCTGTGTCCATCCCTCCATGCACTCCTGCCCACTGAGCTGTCTCTCTTTGCATAAACAGCCCTTTTTTCTTCCATGATTGTTCTCTCCAAGGAGTGTATCTACCTCAGGTAAATGTTCAACTTGAATGCCTGTCTTTTGTTTGGCTGGATGCCACAGGTGTGGGTTTAATTCTAGACCTGAAGGGCAGCTAGGGGCCATAGTCTCAGTGATTTCACCAGGCTCTATCAGACCAGCAAACCTGGTCCCCCCCCCCCCGTTTTATTCTCCAAATGATTCTGAGTTTTGTTCCACATTGTTCTCCCTCTCTATCCAGGATCTCCTACATAGATCCCCCTCTGAGTGGTTGACAGTAGTAGCTGGGCACCATCTAGTTCTTCTGGTCTCATGGTCATATAAGCTGCAGATCGCATGGTGTACCAGTTGCTATGACTAACTGTTTCCATGAATTTTTGTTCTTCTTTGCTCTGGACGAGGAGAGACCCATCGTTGCATCTAGATGGCTGCTTGCAGGCTTTTAAGATCCCAGTTGCTACTTGCCAAAGTAGGAGATGGAACAATGTTTTGTGCAATACGTTATGCCAATTGAGTTTGATGTCCCCCGGCAAAGCTCTTTAAATAAGATCTAGAATCTCGTAATATCCAAAGAGTCCAGGTTTCAATTGAAAGTCAGTCATACCAAGAAGCAGGAAATCTCAAATGAGTAAAGGCAAATGGACATCAAAATTAAGACAACAGTGATGTTAGAATTATGTAACAAGATTTGAAAAAAGCCATCATAAAAATATATTTAATAAACAACTATGAACATGTTAATATATATATATAGAAAATCTGAGCAAAGAACCCGAAGATACAAAGAAGGACCAAACATTTTAGAATTTAATAACCAAAGTAAAAAACATGGGAAGAGAGAGGAAGAATCAGTGAACTTGCCATGCAAATATTTACATAGTGGTTTTCCCCAACGAATATCTAGTTCAAGGGCTGTTGTATACTGGGTCTGAGTGGACGCTGATGTCTGCAAACATAAAATGCCCCTGTGGGCCTTTGGAGGCCAGAGAAGTGGAGGCCTGGGCCCATTGTCTGCACTGCCACCTCCAGATGTATTTCCCAAGTATGTGGCCTCTAAACGTCAGGCTCACTGCTGCTCACCCAGCAGCTTCCCTTGGATGTCTAATGGGCATCTCAACATGGCCTCACTGAGCTCTTGATCTGCCTGCCTTTCCCTGCCCGAAGGTCTCTTCTCCCCTACAGTCTTCCCATCTTGGTAAACGGCGACACCATCCTAGTTGCTCAGACCAAAAGCCTAGCAGTAGTCCTGGATTTCTCCCCCGCCCCCAACACACAACACATCCAGTCAAATCCTATTGGAATTCTTCAAAACTTAACCAGAATTCAACCACCTCTCCCCACCACCACAACCACTTCCCCTCCTTCTTTGGGATTATAACAATGCTGTCCTAAATGACCTCCCTGCTGCTGCCCTTGCCCCCCCTCGCCGACCCCCTACGGTCCAATCACACAGCCATAGTGGCACTGTTTACACATAACTGCTGCTGCTGGAAATCCCACAGTGGTCCCCATCACACTGGAGCTACAACTAAGGTCCTTCCCATGGTCTACTAGATCCTACGGGATGTCAAGCTCCTCCCACCCCTAGACTCCCTGGAATACTTATCCCTGACACCTTAATGCTTTGCTCTCTCACCTCCAAGAATCTTCAAATATCACCCCAACGAAACCTTCACCCTATTTAAAATGTGACACCACTCCTTCACCATCCCCCTCATTTTTCTCTTCAGCACTTACCAGTCACGCAAATGCTTTATATATATCTTCTTTATGTGTTTATTGCTTCTGCCCCCTCATTAGAATATAAACTCCAGGAAGGCTAGATGGCCCATCGCCGGATCCCTGAGCGCTCAGTATCTGGAGCGCACTCTGATTGAATGAACGATGGATGAATGGGTGAGTGCAAGGAAAGCTGAGTTGCACCGTGAACGCCCCCCGCCAATGCCGACATCTACGTGACTTTCACTCGCCGATTTTATTTTGAGCAAATGAAGGGTGGGCCGTGAGGTGGCAGAGGCCTAAGAGACTGACTAATCTGGAACCGAGGGGGCGGGGCCCCCACACGGCGCAGTCGTCATGGGAACGTGGCCACGCCCAGCACTGAACTACAGTTCCCAGCGGTCCCTGCGCCTTCCGGTAGACAAAATGGTGGCGCGCCGGAGAAAGCGTGAGGCGAAAGAGGCGGAGGAGAGGCTCCCGAGCCCTCCAGGCTACTCAGGTAGGGGCTTGGGACGCGGGTCGGGGTTGGCGGCTTCGCCGGGACGTGGCCTGGGGGTCGGCAGGTGAGGGAAACCGGAGTCCCCAGAGGCAGCTATGCGGTTGGGCGAGAGCCGGGCAGCCCCCGGCCTCGGCAGGTCGTGCGGCCCGAGTTGCCCATGTCCCGGGAGGCTCCTTTCTCTCGCGTGTCTGCACTCCCTCCGGGCCCGACCCATTTCTGTCTCTGCTCTCCTGGGACGAGCCTGTCGCCGTTCCACGCTTCCCCTGGGCGAGCCCACCCATCTTCCCACCCCCAGCGCGGGCTCGACTCCGTCTACAGCCTTCCGGGGTGAACCCATCTCTGTCCACACACCGCCTCTCCCCGCAGCCTCTCGGCTTCCCCTGAGCCCTGCAGCCTCTAGTCCAGCCGCTCTCAGCTCTCACCTGGGCCGTTGAAGCATCCTCTTAACTGGTTTCCCCGTTTCTAGCTCCTGCCTTCTGTGCTCTAGGTCCCAGAATGCTCTTCGCAAGGTCAGGGTTAGGTCGTGGCCCACACGCCCACCTTTAGCCCCCACGCCCCTCAACTCGTGGCATTAAAGCGCAGTCCAGACTTCTCACCGCTGAGCTCTGTGGTCCCACAGGTTCTGGCTCAAGTCCCTGCCTGGTTGTCCACTGCCTCCCATCCTTCCAAAGCGCCAGCCTCGCCTCCCTTCTGTTCTCTGACCACCACGGTTCTAGCCTCTGGGATCCGGCAGGAGTGGTGCTTTCTTCCTCAGACCTCTGTGTCCCCTCGTGTCTTCTGGTCTTGGCTTTCATGTGTTCTAGCTAAAGAACGCGGCTGCCACCCCTCACCCTGGGTTGCCTCACCCTGTGTGTTTCTTTGAGAACGTACACAGTCTTGTCACGTGCCTCCGTGTCGCTGTAAGCTTCCTGAGTGCAGGACTGCAGCTGTGTCCCCTCTGTGCTCCGACCACCCTGGTGAGGAACACAGTCTCCAACTTGATGAGGATTCAGATTTTGTGGGGATGCCAGCAATTAGCCACTTAATCACACAAACACAGACTCAGCAGACCGTGGGGGAAGCTATGGAGGCACACAGCAGGTGGATCTCACCTGGTGAGGGGGTGCGGGTGGCAGGTGAGGCCTTCTGAGGAAGTGACATTTGAGCTAAAACTGGAAGAGTGGGTGGAGGGAGGGGGGTGGTGTTCCAGGTAGAGGGAACAGCATATGTGAGGCCCTGACCTGTTGGAGGAGCAGAAAGAAGTCAGAGTGTGAGTGTGAGGGAGGGGTGGGGCTGGGGGAGGTACAGAGGCAGGCAGAGACCCCATCGGGCCAGGCTTCCGGTCATTGTAAGGAGTTGGGTGTTCACCCCAAGAGCAGCGGGGAGCCTCTGGCAGGAAGGTTTGAGCTTCCCTCTCTCATGGCGCTCCCCACCTGTAATGAGTTCCTGTTTGTATTCCTTCACTCACTCTCATCCTGTCACATAGCCAGGAAGGAGGGTTCAGTGAAGAATGGATGTGGGAAGAGTTGGATGGGACTAAAAGGGGCACGGAGACCAGAAATTGTATGACCACACAGCTGGCCTCAGCTTCGGATGTTGTGTGGGCCATGGGGTGCCCTGAACCTGACTCACAGCCTCCACTCTGGCCCTGTTTCCCTTCCAGCCATTCCAATCAAGTTCTCTGAAAAGCAGCAGGCTTCTCATTACCTGTACGTGAGAGAGCACAGAGTTCGAGAAGGCACCAAGTCTCCGTGGCCTCACAAGCGGACCCTTTTTGTTCTCAATGTCCCCCCATACTGCACAGAGGTGAGCCAGCATCTGGGAAGGGACCTGTGGGCTCATGGGCTCCAGGCAGAGTTGGCCACTAACAGGAGCCTTAGGGGAGGGAATCCAGGGAGCTGCCTCTCTCTGTGGTGACAGGACATTGGCTTTTTAAAGATAATTTTAAAAAGAATCTAAATTATCTGCAAAACACCATAAAACGTGGATGAACGTGGAGGACCTTATGGCGAATGAAATAAGTTAATCACAGAAAGACAAATACTGTATTAGTCCACTGTTGTAAAAAGTCAAGGAAAGGTTTATAAACTTGCTTTTGTTGGTTACCAGGGATGGGAGAGGAGGAGAGGGAAAATTCCTAGACAGATGGGGGGGGGGTTGGAAAAAAAAAAAAAATATATATATATATATATATATATTTATTTATTTATTTAGAAACCACAGATTATTAGTGGTTACCAGGGGTAGGAGGGATGGGGGAAAGGGGAAGCTTTTGTTTACAGGGCATCGAGTTAAAACTAATGGTTTTTGTTTACAGGGCATTGAGTTAAAACTAATGGTGGTGGAATATTTTGGAAAGGGATAGCAGTAATGGTGGCACAACATGAAAAATGTCATCAGTGTCTCTGAGCTCTAAGTGTGGACGTTAACACTGATGAATGTGAAGTTGGACCAAACGTGGGTCCCTGCCCAGTGCTCAGTCAAGCCAAAATAGTTTACGCACCGAGTGATTAAGAGGAGAGAAAATTATTGCAAAGCGGCAATGCAAGGAGACAGGGGCCATTACCCAAATCTGACTCCCTGAATGTAGGTCGGGGTACAGTTTTGTAAGCTTCAGGAGAGGGGGCTTATGCATATTAATAAAAACCTCAGGAATTTGGGCATGAATTAACTCAGGATTGGCTGAGGCTTCCTCTGCCTCGGTGTAAAGGGACATTTTTAATGCTGTGTGCCTGCGTACTGGAGGAGTCACACTGCTTTCTGTCATCAGCTGGTTGGGGCTTGGGCAGAGGGGAGAATGTCAGTTCCCAGCAACTTTGTTCCCATTTGTCTCACTGCGCATGTCTGCGGGCCAAATTAATTTTCAAGTTGTCTCCTGAGACACATTAACATATTTATCACTGGTTTCTAGGGGGATAACATGGAGATGATTTGTAAATTGACCTTTCATTCCATTCAGTTCTTAAGGAACTGAGTTATGTTTACTTATCTGCCTCCAACGTAATAGACAGGATGCGGTAACAGGACACAGATAGAGCTTTGGTTCATGAGGTATCTGTCTGCCTGTCTCTCTTAACCAGAGTGGGGTGGTAGTTGACCTTTCATTCTATTCAGTTCTTAAGGAACTGAGTTATCATATTTAGTTATGTGCCTCCAACTGAGGATGCAGGCTGGACTTTGATTCCACTCGGCTTCAGATGTCTTGTGTGTGTTTCCACTGCAATAAAAAGAAAAAGAAAAAAAAAAACCTGAATCTTCAAAACAGAAATTCTGAGGAGCTAGAGCTCTTTATGTGTTCCCAGAAAGTTTTGAAAACTCATATTTGAATCACATGCTTTTTTTTTTCTGATTATAAAAGTGATACCTTCCATGGTTAAAAAAAAGAGTAGAGGAGGACAACAGTGACCTCATTCTGCTGTCCAGACACGGCTATTCGCTGTCTTCCACAAAACTATTCAGTTCAGATTAATAAATTTACAAAAGGAAAAGAAACTGAGAGAATTACTGGGTTTTAGATCCCTCCTCCCCCAAAGAAACAGTAACTTAGAGAGACGTGGGGAGAGGAGGGGACTGTTGTTCACCTTTACTGGTGGGTCGTGCCTGTGAGAAATGCGTGGAAGCGGGATATAGCCCTCTGCTTCTCACACATTGACCAGACCCAGGCAGTCAGCACCCAGGTCAAGAACCAGAACATCACTGGCACCCTAGAAATCCCTTGTGCCTCCCTGACCAAGGATGGCAGCCTCCTGGTTCTAACAGCATCAGTGAAACTTTTTTTTTTTAAGTATGTATCTTTGTTGTTGAGAGTCTACACCACAGACCAGGTCAGCAGTCTCTGCATGGACCAGTCAGCACCACTGATGACGTTCTCTGGGTTGTTTTCACCTTTCCTGAGCTGTTCCCCTCCATTAACAGAAACTCACTGCCCCCAGGCTCCTGACTCACCTTTGGAGTTGCTGTGGACAGTTTGATCACAGAGAGATAGACCTTAAAATTCTGACAGTGCTCCAGGCGGGCATTCTTTACTAGCAAAGCTCAACTATGTGTTCTTTAGAAGACTCCTGGGAATATTTTTTCTTTAAGGATGATCTCCGGGCAGTAGTTCCAGGGATTCATCCAGCTTGCATGGCTCCAGGAAGCTGGATTCCAGTGGAATTTGGAATTTGCTTTCCTCTCTTTTGATCAGTGTTCTGAGAATCTTTGATCAGCAAGGGAACTCTGCAGGCATGGTGCCTAAGGCATCTGACTGCTAACCAGAAGGGTAGAGATTCAAACCCACCAGCCACTCCTCAGAAGGAAGATGGGGCAATCTGCTTCCGTAGAGATACCGCCTTGGAAATCCAAAGAGGGGTTGCTATGAGTTGGATCAGACTGGACAGCAGTGAGTTTGGTCGTCCCCCCCCCCCCCCAGCTTGTTGATCAGCAGGTTTCCTACTGGCAGCGATTACTAAATGGCTGATTCAGGTTGTAAACCCTAGTTGGTTGTCTCTTCGAATTGTACTACTCAGATAACACCATAAATGTCTCCACCTAGTTTTGTAAGAATTTTTTTAAACGTTTAAAACAATCCTACTCAAGGGATCATTCTCCCAGATAAAGAATGTAATCCTTCAGGAAAAGGGCCTTTCCAGACGAGACCAGCTTGACTCGTGATGGCCAGACGGCCCGAGCAGGGCCCTGTCTTCAGGCCAAAGCAGCTCAGATCAGAGCGCTTCAGAGGCAGCCCCACACTCCATCTGCTCCTCCCCGAGGCCTCTGGCCGTGAGAGGTGTGGCTCTTCACCCAGTTTTTAACATGAAAATTGAGAAGGTTTTTGTGGGGAGCTTTGAGAGGGCCTCCTTGTCGGCCATGAGGGTACAGGTGAGAGGAAGGAGTGGCTGTCCCAGCATGTCCCTGGTTGGGCAGGTGTAGGGTCTGAGTCCTCTGGGCAGAGGGGCACCCAGAGGGCCCTGCAGATGCTCACACTGCTTCTTGGGGCCAGGAGTGCCTGTCCCGCCTCTTCTCTCCCTGCGGCTCCGTTCAGTCTGTGGAGTTACAGGAGAGGCCAGACCTCACGGAGAGCCCGAAGGAGCCAACGTCAAAGTTCTTTCACCCCAAGCCTGTGCCGGTAAGCCTCCAGGTGCCTGAGCTCTGCTGAAAGGGGCGTGGGCGGGGTGGGGGGTGGGCGGGGCGAGGGCTGCCTGCCTAGATGAGGGGCAGGCCTGGGCGGGGCGTGGCATTCAGAGTGCACCCTGCATCTTAGTCCTCATGGTGTGTGAGCTAGGAGGGCAGTCAGGGTAAACGGCCTCTTCCCGATTTGCCACATCCGTTAACTTCCTGTGTGACTTTTTCTGTTGTCCCGTGTGAAATCTCAGAGGCCATCCCTGCTTGCTGCTCTGAAGGGCTCCCCGAGGTCTTCTGCCCCCCTACTTCCGAGGCAGTAGATTCTGCCTTGGGTCCAGCGGCTCTGTCTCCAGGAGCCTTGTCCCTTCCACAAGTCCACCTTCTCGTAGCATCAGCAGCCTGCACTAGCCCCCGCTGTCCACGCTGGGCCCCTGGCTCCAGGAAGCTTAAGGATAAGCTGGCCTGGGGTGAGCACCCCTTTCACCCAGGCCCTCCTGGAACTGAGATACGGGCCCCTGTGTATCTAACCTACTCTCTGGGGAGGACGTGGGAACAGGTGTCACTTCCGGCAGAGGTTGAGGGCCAGGAGTGGGGCTGCCCCTCACCTTCTGGTTATCCTCCCTGTTCAGCAGCAGCCCAGCGTCACCCCCACTCCATGACTTAGTGTGAAGGCAGGTGTGGGGCCCATACCAGCAGGAAGGGTGGAAAGGAACAGGGGTTCCCTATACTGTTTGTGGCTCTCTTCCCTCAGGGGTTCCAGGTAGCCTATGTGGTGTTCCGGAAGCCAAGTGGAGTGTCAGCTGCCTTAGCCCTGAAAGATCCTTTGCTGGTCTCAACAGAGAGTCACCCTGTGAAAACTGGTGTTCACAGTCAGTGCGACTCGCGGGTCTAGTGCCTCCTTCCTGGGCCTGGGTTGGTGGGGTGCCCCTAACGAGAGGTAATCTCTAAGAATTACCTGGAGAGCAGCACGTCGGAGGCCTGCCGGGGATGTCCTGTGACACACCAGGAAAACATGACCCTGAGCCTTTGGCATTGAGTGTCTCAGACACTGGGGATGGATGGGAGGGCCCAGCTTCCCAACACTAGAACCTTCCTTTCCACCAGAGCCCCAGCTCAGTCACTGTGGTTCAGTGTCAGGCGATCCCAACTCCCTGAAGGCCATGGGGTGAGGCCTGCAGCCTTGGGCCTGAGCAAGCCCATGTCCCCTTGTCCTCAGAGTGGATCAGTGAATATGCAGATTCTGTGCTCGACCCCGAAGCCCTGAGGGCTGAAGTGGACACGTTCATGGAGGCGTATGACAAGAAGACAGCTGAGGTCGGGACAGCCGCCTACGTGGCAGTGGGGAGGTGGTACCACCAGATGTTGCTGCGTGGCCCTCAAGGGTGTGGCAGCAGCCAGCCTCGGTCAGCCTGCAGAGCCCAAACTCCCCTTTTCCTTAGGGAATCCTGGGCCACCTGGCTGGGTGACATCTGTTCTCTGAGTTGTCTCTAGGGGACAGCCATAGAGGTGGTGGTGGTGGGTCTGTGCTGCCTCAGGTCCTGTCCTGTCCCTTGTCCATCCGTGTGTCGTGTCCCCCCGACACACCCCATACAGGGATGCATCACATAATGTCCACGATACATTCTGTGAAATAAGATGCTATGTGATTTGGACAGTGTGTGAATACCTGTTAAACCCTTATGGGAGCCAGCTTCCAGTCCTCATCACCACAGCTGCTGGATGCGGGTGGCAGGGGCTAGCTGAGGACAGGAGCGTGCGATGTGAGAGGAAGCGAGTGGGGAGAGTGGAGGGTGCCTGGCCCCACTCAACTCTACCCGCCTCAGCAGCGGGCACAGCCCAGACCCCACAGCCCCTGCCACCCCAGCCCCCTGCCTGCCTAAGCCCGAGAATTGCCCAGAGCCATGTTCTCTGCCTCCCCTGCTTGTGTCCCCTCTGTGGTCCAGTGCTGCTGGGTCTGGCTGTGGGTCTTTAAAACCGTTCAGGGGATAAAATAAATAAAAGGAAAGCTGCTTTCCCTTTTTTAAGAAGACCAAGAACCTTATAGGACCATGGACATGGACGTATCTGTGGTTAGACTTTGCCTTCACACGTATTAAGTGATGCGTACGTGAACGTGGCCAACAACACAGGAGGGACAGTCAGTGCTGGGTGGCACTGGGGTCATTCTCACATGGGAAGAGAAGGGTGCCTTCAGGGGTTGTGATATGGGGGGCCCCAGGCCTGGGGGCTGGTTCCAGGGGCACCCTGTTCTGCCGAGGAGCCTGCCTGCCAACAGGGCTCATGTTCCCTGCAGGAGGAAGCTAAGGCCAAGGAGGAAGAAGGAGTCCCTGACGAGGAGGGCTGGGTGAAAGTGACCCGCCGTGGCCGGCGGTCTGCACTGCCCTGGACGGAGGCCGCCAGCCTGCGAGTGCTGGAGCGGGAGAAGCAGAAACGCGCTCGCAAGGAGTTGCTCAACTTCTACGCCTGGCAGCACCGCGAGACCAAGATGGAGCGTAAGGACCGCCCCGAGCCTGCCCTCACGCCCCGAGCCCCTGGCTACAGCCCCAGCCCGGAGGTGCGCTGGCACAGCGTGTCCTGTGCAATGGACAGGCCCAGCCAGAGCCCTGCACACACTTCCTGGCAGGCTCTGGGTCACAGTCCCGCCTGACACCTCAAGTGTCCCTGGCTGGTGGCTCCCCTGCAGCTGCGTCTGCCTGGTGGCAGTGGGCCCTGGCTTACCTGACAGGTCTGTCGGGGCCCGCGGAGGTGGTGCCAGGACCTGTACCTCCAGTGACAGCCTAGCCGCTCACTGTGGGCTTGCCCAACTGTGCACGCACACATGTGTGTGTGTGTGGTGGGGTGGCCCGTGTGTCACCATGTGTGGGGTAGTGGGGCAGCCTGCATGTGTGTTGCTGCTGCACGTATGGGGCAGTGGGTGGTGCCCTGCAGTGTCCCCGTGGATAGACCCCAGTCCCCCATGGCCCTGCTCTCGGTGGTGATAACTCCTGACATCACTGTCCCGGCCAGCTGGTCCTGCTTCTTGTGCCTTCTGGGCCCAGGGGAGGGTCCTGGCCTTGACCTCTTTGCTTTCTCTCACTGGGGAATTCTCCGTCACATTCTTCTGCAGTCTCGTCTTCTTGCAGTCCTCAGACCATTTCCCCAAAGGGGAGCAGAGGGAAGGAGAGAGTCCCTGGGTAGGAAGGGCATCCTGGGGCCTAAGGAGCACAGGGGAGCCCCACAGGCTGGAGCCCCGCTGGTGGGGGCAGCGGAGAGAACGCCGCCCTCACGGGCACCATCCTCACTCTGGCACCTCTCCCCTCCCCCCAGACCTGGCTCAGCTGCGCAAGAAGTTCGAGGAGGACAAGCAGCGGATCGAACTGATGCGGGCCCAGCGCAAATTCCGGCCGTACTGAGCCTGCTGGGCCTGGGGAGGAGGACGGGGGGCCGGGACAGGTGTCCAGGAGCGGCTGCCCTGGTGAGTGGTGTCTCCACACAGATGTCACTCCTGTTCCTCGGGTGACCAGGCCTGCCGGGGAAGCACCCCATCCCCAGTGTTTCCACTAGAAGCTTAGGTCTGAGGGACACAGTTCCATCCATGCTGCGCCCCCGCCCCCAGGTGGAAAGTCCCCCAGCAGTGAGGCAGGCACAGGAACAGTGCAGACACCAGCTGGTTCATTTCGCATCGTGAGCAACAGACAAAGGCTTCGAAGCCACAGGACTTGTCCTTACCCCTTTCAGATTAACCACACCGAAATCTGGACACCCTCTCTCTGACATCACAACTAATAAAAAGCAGACTCTCAGACCCACTGGCCCGGCCTGCTTCACAATCCAGGCTGCGTGTTCGAGACCAGTGAGGCCCAGGTGCCTGCACAGGCCTTGCAAAGGCTGAGAGTGGAGAGGCTGGCAGGAGATGGTCTCTGTGGCCCCCGACCCAGGCCTACAGCTTGGACAGCGGCCGCACCTCACTCTTTAGAAAGGCACTGACAATCTTCGCCAGCTTGTAGGGCTCGTTCATGTGGATGTAGTGGTTGCCAGGGATTTCTACAAACTGGTACCGCTGGGGAAGGGAAGCAGAGGCCAGGTGGGCGGGGCCCCTGCCAGAGGAGCCGTCACAGACGGTTACAGCTCGCCCTGGTGGGTGCTGGGGGCCCGCTGTTTCCCCAGCGGGTCCCAAGTGTCAGGGGGCGGGCTCCAGGGTATTGTCCAGATGGCACGCCACACCCAGGGTCTGGGCCACTAGGCTGGGAGGCTTTAAAGTTTGCCAGGTGGGGGTTAGGGAACCTGGAGCCTGCCTGGCTGCGTCAGGAGGGCCCCCTGAGGCAGGCTTTCACAGGTACTCTGTCTTGGAGATGGGCTGTGCCTGTCGCAACTCCAACCTGTGGGCCGGCCAAAGATCAGTTTCCCTCTCCCAGGGAGATGCTGGGCCATCCATCGAGGCCCCAGGTAAGGGTCCACGCCACACAGACCCCAACTGTGAGAGCCACCCCCACCTGCAGACAAGGTACCTGCAGGGGATGTAAGTGAGGCAGTGCACTGGGACCTTCCCCTGGCCAAGCTGGGCTGGGTCCAGGGGATAGGCGAGGCCGGGGAGACCAGAAGATTGTGCCAGTGAGGCCCCTGTGTCCTGCGCTCTGACCTACATGTGACTCTAGGTCTCCGGAGGGAGGACTGAACACTCCTGAGGGGTAACACGGTCCCGTGCCGGGCCTGGGTTAGACCTGGGTCCCCCACAGGGTCCCGATAGCTCACCTTCTTCAGGATTGCCTGGAGCATGCCAGTTATGAGGTTCATGGGTGTCCTATCTGTGTCCTCTCTCCTCAGACTGTAAAGCCCCTGCTGTGCCCTTGAGAGAGAGAGGTTAGTGTTCGACAGAGGGCTTGAGGCCCCAGCCCCAGGTGCCTGGGCTCCTGAGAAAAGACCACATCTGAGCACAGCCGGTCACTTGATACTGGCTGCTGTCATGGCGCTCACCGTGGGCCACATGCTTGTGGGGAGTCCCTGGGGCTTGGCCATGGTGACGCCCGCTGAGGGCAGAGCTGGGATCTGAGTGGGTCTACCCTCTGTGAGTCCCTTTACCGTAAACACATGCCATATCCACAGCAAGTGCAGGCAGTGGACGGGGACTAGGCCACAAGAGGGCTCAGCTGTAATGGGGGCCCAGGCAGGGGTGAGAGATGACAGCAGTTGCATGGGCCCTGCCTGGCAGTGACCAGAGGGATTGCCAAGGGGCTGGAGGCTCAGAGGGCAGGGCTAGGCTGCAACATCTGCCGGCCCTGCCATCTGTGCTGCTCCCATCAGACCCTCACCAACTGTCCCCACAAACACCTGCTGAAGGGTGTAGTCATTCTTGCCCGTCCCCTGCTACCAAGCCCTCCTGTTGCTTCATCTCCCCTCCTACAGACTACAGGGTCAGGGGGCTTTCCAGGAAAGGTCACAGGGGCAGCGGTGGGCTCTCACCACCAGGAGAACTGGAGCCCTGGGCAGGGATCCCTCCTGGGACTGAGCGGCCCACTGCCCAGACTCACTTGACGATCAGAACGTGGGCCTGCAGGTTCTGGATGCAGCGTAAGAGCTGGTCCTTGCTGATGAAGTCAAAGCAGAGCTCTGGCTGTAGGGAGCAAGCCACTGAGTTACCACCAGATGACACCAGGCACCCCTGTGGGGCAGCTGGGGCCTGGCAGAGCACCTCTGCCATCGCCATGTCAGGGCTTGGCCCAGTATCCAACCTGATCGCCATCAGTGGCCTCTAGTATCCACAGGCAGGAGACTGCTCTCTGTATTCCAGGGCTCATGGCCGCCAGCCAGACTGTATTTCCCAGACTCCCTTGCAGCCAGTCATGGTCATGTGGCTAAATGCCTACATGATTTAGGCTATAACTCTGCCATCAAGTTGGATCTGACTCCTAGTGACCCCTCCTTAGGTTTCTGAGGCGGTATCTCTACGGAAGTAGATTGCCCAGGCTTCCTTCCAAGGAGTGGCTGGTGGGTTTGAACTGCCAGCCTTCTGGTTGGCAGTCACATGCCTTAGGCAGTATGCCATTTTATAGCTGGGTCTGAATTTTAGGGCTGCGGTATGGTCTCTTCACACCCAATTCCCGTCTACAGGCTGCCCGCCGCAGTGTCCCACATCCCAAAGCCCTGAACTCGGCCAAGCTGAGCGACCTACTTGTGCCGGGCAGTTTCCATGAAAAGCTACTTCCCCTTTATTAGGAGAGCCACAGTGTAGGGAGCTACACCCTGCTTCTGTAAAGACTGCATCCTTGGAAACCCTCTGGGGCAGTTCCACTCTGTCCTCTAGGGGTGCTGTGAGAATGAACTCCACAGCAGTGGGTTTGGTTTGGGTTTTGCTTCTACAAAGATTATTGTTATGTGCCATCGAGTCGGCACCAACTCATAGCGACCCCTCCTTGGGTTGCCCAGGCAGTATCATTACAGAAGTAGATTGCCCAATCTTCCTTCCGAGTGGCTGGTGGGTTTGAACCGCCAGCCTTCTGGTTAGCAGTCAAGTGCCTTAGGCACTAGACCCTATGGGGCAGTTCTACTCTGTCCTCTAGGGGCACTGTGAGTCACAACTCAAAACGACGGTTTGGTTTGGGGGTGTTGTCCGACGCTAACAGCAGCCACACGATTGGGCACCTGAAATAGCTAGTTCAAACTGCGATGTGCCTAGGTGTAAATGCACACTGGATTGCAAAACAGTATGAAAAAGAATGTGAAATAACTCAACCATTTTTAAATTGACCCCATGTTGCAATTACATTTTGGATATACTGGCTTCAAATGTATTATTGAACATGAACTTCTCCCATTTCCTTTTTGCCACTTTAATGTGACGTCGTTGTTAGCCGCCATCGAGTGGACGCTGACTCATCGTGGTCTCAGGCAGAGCAGGACCGGTGGCTGCCAGTTGTGCCTCACAGCCCCACGTGTCTGAGCCCGCTGTTGCAGCGTGCAGTGTCTCCCACGCTGCAAGGCTCATCTTCCAGCACCGTATCGGCGCTCTGCTGGAAGCCGTAAAGGTTTCCCTGGTCATTTTGGGGAGTCTCCAGGCCCTTCTTCCTAGTGTGTCTGAGTCTGGAAGCTCTGTCACTGTGGGTGACCCTGCCGGGACTGGAGGGACCAACAGCATGGCCTCCAGCCTCACAGCAACATGTAAGCCACCACACTGCGGCACGCTGACAGATGGGCGGTCAGATATGACTACTGGAAAACATGGTCACTTCACCGTGTGCTGCTGTAGACTCAGGAGCTCTCAGAATGTCGCTAGATCCACAGCACTCCCACATGGTCACAGGAAGGAGGAGCTCACGAAATGTATTCCAAGTGGATTAATCTGAGAAAGCTCCCATAAGGACTGACTTGCTAGGTCACGTGTGGCATGCCTACACCATGGTGACAGATACACACACACACACACACACACAAACAGTGGTCTGGCCCACAGCCACAAAAACGTGGTACACTCTTTCTGCCCCGGACCTCAACCAATCACTTCCTGCTCCTCAGGCTAAAATGACCTTGATAGCTTTTCCAGAGGTTTGCCATGTCCTGCTCCACGCTCAGTGGACATGGGAAAGGGAACCAAGACTTAACTGAGAACACGGACAGGCCACAGACTATCTCCCGTAATACAGCGTCCAGAGAGCACCTGGGTGGGTCCCAGTACTAATGCACAGAGGAGAGGGCGAGGGGACGCAGGTCCAAAAGGGCTAAGTAACTGTGTCACAGTCGAGAGCTAAGAGGAGATGGTGCCAGGACTCACCCAGGCCGGGACTCCCACTCCCTCTACAGCCTCCTGAAGAAAAGAAAACAAGCCATCGGTTCTGGCTCACAGCACTCGTAGAGGACAGAGTAGAATTGTCCCACAGGGTTTCCAAGGCTGTGATGTTTACAGAAGCAAAGCCCAAACCACCCCCACTACAGTGCCGATTCCAAAGTGGAACTGCCCCACAGGGTTTCCCAGGCTATGGCCTTTACGGAAGCAGACTGCTTCACCTTTCTCTCATGGAGGACCTGGTGAGTTTGGACCACTGACTTTTCAGCTAGTAGCTGCGTGCTTAACCACTGCACCATCGGAGCCTCTTAGCCTTTCTTTAATAATCTTTTTTTGGCTAGGACTGAGGTCTCTGGCTTGGGGCCTCAGTCAGACTCTCAGTTAAATCTTGGTCTCCAAGACTAGGACTGATGGACACTGTTATCCATGCATGTCTGCAGATGAGAAAATACAGCATGAGTCCGTGTTTCAGCAGCCATCTCCTGAAAGGTGACAATCTGAGGATGCTTCTCCAGGATGGTCTTCATGAGGGGTGGCTGCTGAGGGGCTGAGGGGACATAAGCCTTCTCCCCCTCTCTCCTCCTGTACAGCTTTTTACCTTTTCCACGTCCACCTTCACTCCCTGATCCATTCTGTTTTGTAATTATGATGTGACATACAGCAAAGTCCCCAATCTCAGTGTTGGCTCATGACAGACTTTTACACATGGATCAACCATTTAACCACAGTGAAACCTGTGACAGCCGGTACTTGACTGGGCGGCCTTATTTTTCTGGGTCTCACAGGTTTTCCACCTTTGACAGAGTGCAGTCTTACCACTCTACTACCCACCAGCCACTCCTCGGAAGGAAGGTTGGGCAATCCTACTTCCGTAGCGATACTGCCTCGGAAACCCAAGGAGGGGTCGCTATGAGTCAGGGCTGACTCGACGGCACATAACAACAACAACAACATCACTTGTTTTGGTCAAAAATATATGTGTTTTTCACACTGACAAAATTGAGGAAAACAGAAAAAACCCTGGAACATTTTTTAAGAACAATACAAGAAAAAAAAATGACAGAAAAAAAAAAAAAAGGAAAATCAGAAATGATACAAAATCTACACACGGAAATCCAGAAGATTAATACTAAATTTTCAGAACTAGATAAGGCATTGAATGGGCAAAGGAGTAGAGCTGAATCAATGGAAGACAGAATTAGTGAGACTGAAGGAAAATACCTCAATACTTCTTTGGGAAAAAGAACAATCAGAAAAAAAAGATCAAAACAAAATGAAGAAAGCCTAAGGTTCATGTGGGATACCATCAAAAGGAATAACCTACATGTAATCATAATTCCAGAACTGGAAGAGACAGACAAAACCACACAAAAAAATTGTCAAACATTTGTTGGAAGAGAATTTTCCTGGTATGATGAAAGATGAGAATGTATGCATTCCAGAAGTCCAACAAACCCCAAACAGGATAGACCCCAAAAGAAAAACACCAAGACTTATCATCATCAAACTCACCCAAACCAAAGACAAAGAATCCTGAAAGCAGCATGGGAAAAACTAAAACTTACCTACAGGGAGCAACCAATAAGACTAAGCTCAGATTTCTCGGTAGAAACCATGCAGGCGAGAAGACAATGGATGGTATACGTAAAACCCTGAAAAAGAAAACTTTCCAGCCAAGAATTACATACCCAGCAAAACTGTCCCTCAAATATGATGGTGAAATTAGGACATTTCCAGATAAGCAGAAATTAAGGGAATTTGTTAAAACCAGACCAACCTTACAAGAATGCTAAAGGGAGTCCTCTGGACAGAGAAGCAACAACCGCAAACAATAACTGACCATTAGCACACATGGTGACATAGCCCAGAAACCAACCCAGCTATGGAAATATCCAAAGTAAATAAGCCTACAAGATTGTAAACAGGGAACCAGAGACATCAATTGACAAATGAGGACAACTACAAACCAAAAAGGGGAAAACTGTTTAATTACAGAACTTCTAAATGGTAAGGAAGTCAAGACAACTACAAGATAGACCGGACTGTTCTAAACTTGAGAAGAAAACTATAAATCATAGGGTAACCTCAAAGAAAAATGATAAACCTTCACATCAAAATAAAAAAGAGGACCGGCACAAGTATTTAGCAAATACTAAAACAACAGTAATGAAGGAAGTGGTAACATGATTCATAAACAAAACGAGCTCAGCACAGAAAATTATATGGAACAAAGAAATCAACATCATGAAAAAAACTTACAACAAAAATGACAGCAACAAATTCATACCTGTTGATAATTACATATCTGACAATGGACTTATCTCTAAGATTTATAGAAACTCCAACACCTCAACAGCAGAGGAATTAATCCAATTGAAAAATGGGCAGAAGACATGAATAGACACTTCATCAAGGAGGATATTCAGGTGGCCAGCTAATACATGAGAGATGTTCATGATCACTGGCCATCAGAGAGATGCAAATCAGAACAACAATGAGATACCGTCTCACCTGAGCACTGATAGCAAGGTTCAACAAGACAGAAAATAACAAATGCTGGTGGGGATGTGGAGAGATTGGGACTCATACACTGCTGGTGGGATTGTGAAGTGATAAAACCACTTGGGAAAGCAGTGCCTTAGAAAACTGGAATTGGAGATACCATTTGACCCAGCAATCCCATCACCAGGTATGTATATATCCTAGAGAGGTGAGAGCCAGGACAGGAACAGATATATGCACACCCATGTTATCACAGCAGTATTTACAATTGCAAAAAGATGGAGAACAACCTACGTACCCATCAATGGAGGAGTGGATGACCAAACTATGATACATACACACAATGGAATGCTGTGTAGCACTAAAGAATAATGTAGATAGGTGTCCATCAACTGAGGAATGGATAACCAAACTGTGGTACATACACACAATGGAATACTATGCAACCCTAAAGAATAACCTAGAATCTGCAATACCGCATAACGTGGATGAACTTGGAGGACATTATGCTGAGTGACATAAGTCAATCACAGAAGTACAAATATTGTATTAGTCCATTATTGTAAAAGTCAATGAAAGGTTATTCTATCAAAGGCAATTTCTTTGTTGGTTACCAGGGGTGGGAGAGGAGGGGAGGGAACACTCTTAGACAGGTAGAGACAAGTATTGATTTGGGTGACGAGAAGGGCAATGTACCAAATGTGAGTGATCAACATGGTGGCACTGAGGAAGAGGAAGACAGAGGTACAGACAACAAAGGTGAATCCTTTTGCACATAAAGTATTGCATTGTCAGTGAAGGCAAACATGGGTATATGGGTGGATAGATGGGTGGACAGGCTGAACTTAGGTATGTCTGTGAAGTGGGGAGTGTACCCAAGACCATGTATAGGGTTGGCAGACAATAGTCCTGTAAATGTATTTGTATGATCTGAATCCCCAGGTGTATAGTAGAGCTGACAAAGGACAAGGTTGTAGTCACTTCTTGGTCACAGCCAGCTACCCAGAGGGACCGAGTAGTTGAGCCGGTAGGCTCAGGACCATAGTTGCAGGGGACATCAAGCTCAATTGGCATAACATACTACACAAAACATTGTTCCATCTACTACGTTGGTGAGTAGTGACTGGGATCTTAAAAGCTTGCAAGCTGCCATCTAGATGCAACGATGGGTCTCTCCTCATCCAGAGCAAAGAAGAATGAAGAAAACCAAAAATTCATGGAAAGAATTAGTCCTAGCGAC